CCTATTGAGTGAACTGTCTTTAAAGGAGGTGCTTTATGGTTGTTGAGGGACTTTACAGAAGTATTTGTTGTAGTTACATCCTTAAAATTGCATATTAATGTGCAAGCCTGCAAAAATCTCAAGTTACGTCATAAAGGCGAAATAGAATCTGCCATTTCTAACAGCGTTTTGATATTAGTTTCATTAGCGTAGATGTGTCGTGGTTTGAGTTAAATCCTATTGAATTACAGCTTCAAAGAGTCAGAAATGCCTGAACTCTCATTTAACAGACATTTCAGTCACAGCTCTTGGGAAATAAACCGAACTGGAGCTCATTAAAGGTAAATGAGGATGGGCTTCATGTCCTCTGGTTAATAGAGTTTCATTAGATCAGACAATTGCTTAATGAGCACCCAATCAGAGGCTCACACAGCGCTCCCTATTGAAACATTGTGGCCTGAAGGCCCTTTCACATGACTCGCGTCAGGAGTTTAGCACACTTGGCATGAGACATGTGAAAAGGCCTCAGTTGAGCAGGAATCAATGTTTGTGGTTCTTGTCCATCCCTAGGCGTCGATAATGACCGGCAGTGCCCTGAGTTTGGGGGTGGAGGGGGGAAAGAGCCACTGCGAGACGGTCAGCCAACCTCACCTCAGCCCTCTGCGTAAACCCCCGCTTCTTCTCAACGAGACCAAGAACAAGAGCACGCTCCGCATGTCCGAGAAAACCTGGGAATCGCGAAGGATCAAAGAAGAGATCCAGGACATCCTGTCGCCCACACCGTTAGAGCTGCACAAGGTGGACAAACTCCACAACACACTACATTGAACACACTGTTTATCAGTATTGTGCACTCCCTTTAGAAAACGTGACGAGTTCCACTTCCTCCTGAGGTGCTGGTCAACATGGTTGGTATTAGTAACCGCTGGGGAGTATGCGAACAGCATTCTCAGATCTTCTCAGAAAATGTCCCTGGGAAAGGACACGGAGATACATCTGCAACCCCTCGCTGGTTAAAATATCGTGTGTGCTTTTTTCTGCGGTTTAACAGGAAATTTAGATATTTTTTCCCAAACTCAAATGAAGATGCTTCATGCCATTTTAATGCAGTAAGTCAAGACCAATAATTTATGATGTAAACACATCTGTCCTATACATCTGAAATCTGACATATCCTGGGAGTTGCTTTGCTTGTGGTTTTTTTGGTGTTTTTTTGCTTTTCTTTACGTTGTCTTCGCTTTTGCTTTGCTTTGCTTTTGTCTTGCTTTGCTGTGCTTTGGTTTGCTTTTCTTTTGTTTTGATGTGCTTTTGCTTTGCTTTGTTTTGCTTTGTTTTGCTTTGTTTTGCTTTGTTTTGTTTTGCTTTGTTTTGCTTTGTTTTGTTTTGCTTTGTTTTGCTTTGTTTTGCTTTGTTTTGTTTTGCTTTGTTTTGCTTTGCTTTGCTTTGTTTTTTTGTTTTTTTGTTTTGTTTTGTTTCGTTATATACCCCCCCAAAAAAAATTTGGGCTGTCAAACGATTAATCGCATCATAAAATAAAAGTTTGTGTTTACATAATATATGTGTGTGTACTGTGTACAATTATTTTTAATACATAAATACCCACACATGCATGTGTATTTAAGAAATATTTGCATGTATATACTGTATCTAGACTGAATGTAGCCTATATATAATGTATATTTTATATAAATATAAACATTTTATATATAAATAACATATTTTTCTTAAATGTATATGTGTGTGCATTTATATACAAAATAATTATACACAGTACACACACATATATTATGTAAACACAAACTTTTATTTTGGATGCGATTAATCGCGATTAATCGTTTGACAGCCTAAAAAAAAACAATTGTGCTTTAGTTTGTTTTTATTACCACATTGTGAACATGATTTTTTCTTGTTTTAAGTATACTATAAACCTAACAAACTTATTGAGGTTTATGCTAAAAAAATATACAAGAAGAAATGTTTTTTTTTTTAAACTTAATTATTTCATCTAATATTATTTGCTTGTTTGTTTGTTTGTTTGTTTGATTGATTGATTTTTTTAACTTAACGATTTATTTTTGGTGAACTTTTCCTTCTGCTTAAGACAGCTTCTGATGAAAATATTCGTAAGAAACTAGCTCATGGTTAAATTGTCGCAATAATTTTGTGTTTAACAGGTGACGGTGATGAAAGACCCAGAGAGCGATGACTTTGGATTCAGCGTGTCAGACGGTTTCTTGGAAAAGGGTGTTTACGTGAACATGATCAGACCTGAGGGTCCAGCGGACCGTGCTGGACTCAAACCGTACGACAGGATCCTTCAGGTGCCTCTTCTCAGATCACCACACGCCCCCCTCCCTTTCCCCAGCTATACGATCTGCCCAGCTCAGTTAAATATAAACTCACTCTGAGAGGCATGAGAGCGTCAATAGGCACTGGGAGGACAGGTCGAGTTAAAAAGTTATTTCTCTGGATCTTCTGCGTGGCTACACAGCACTTGTGGTCACATCTTGTGGTCCTCTTTCTAATCTCTCACGCTTCACCAACTGTGGAAATGATTAAATCTGTGTTAAGATACTTACCAACTGTGGTGTTAACCACAGCAAAAAAACTAAACAAAAAAACAGCGTGTGTTTGTCTATGGGGGTTGAAAAATGCTATGGTTGAGTTAGAGGTGCTTGCTTTCTGGTGTCTGGTTTTATTTGTCATCCCATTATCAAGTATGATAACAAACATTTTCAGAATAAACCCCTGTTCAGATAAACAAAAAGTATTTTAGAGACTCTGCTAACATGAGCCGCGGTTGCATTATTGATTTAGATTCAATTATCTTAAGTCCCGTTTATACCACGATAACAACGATAAAAATAAAGATATAAATCTAAAAATCGTTCTAATGCAAAAGAATTGGTTCAAACCACACCTAAACAATATTGTTGGAACCACTTTAAAAATATTATTTCCAACTGATGAACGATAAAAACTTTGACAGCCAATCAGAATCCATCCTGCTTTAAATGGCTTGAGCATTTAAAGCGGCAGATGACAAATAATAAACAGAACAATATTGTCTACTGGTGTGGACACTAATATAGTTATTGTTATCGTTCCTGGTGTGAACGTTTACCGAAGTCTATATGTCTAAATGTTTCTCTGCCAGGTGAACCACGTGCGGACACGAGATTTCGACTGCTGCTTAGCTGTTCCCCTCATCACAGAGGCCGGAGACAAACTGGAGCTGGTGATCAGCCGAAACCCGTTAGCACAGCCGGGGGTCGCCCAGTCCCACGACTGCCATCCCCACTTCAACCCTGTAGGCCATTCCCGCGAGCACCAGACCAGCACGCTGGACCTGTGACCAGTGGCTAACTAAGACCACACCGGACCTTTCGATGCAACAGACTATCACAAGGAGCCACGATCCACTGGTTTCATTACAAAACTCTAATGAACTGAAAAATCCAGATCTTGGAAACAGTACAACAAAAGATTTGAGCCAGTTTTCCGTACAATACTCGAAAGGATCTGAGCCAGTTTTTAAAAACAGAAAAGAAAACAAATTTTCTTTTGGACTACTACAATGCATACAACACATGGACTTCACCCATCAAATCAAACATTTATTTTCTTTGATCTTTTTGTTTTGTTTCTTTCCTTTTCATTTTTGTTTTGTTTTTGGTAATTTTGTTTGGCTTTATTTTATTTTGACGTTTGTTTTGATTTTTTTTCCCTCAGATATAAAAAAAACAAAACATACTGTGTCCAAATGTTTACAAAACAGGAAGATGATTCTGCTTTTGAAGTAGATCGCTATTAGACGGAAGCATTTTTTGAAGGTGTCTTACATTTACATTTTCAGTAGCAAATGTGTTTTTACTCACACTACAAACTGCAAATTAAGCTTTAGTTGCGTTTTAGTCCTGGCCGAGTCACTTCAGGAATACCTTCAGGCACATATTGTCCTTTCTCACAAACACACGTTGCTACTATAAACAGACAAAAACACACAAACAAACTTAAATTTGTCTTTGTGTCAGACACAAACACTTCAGGCCACATCAACAATGTACAAGGTGACTGCCTGCTGCTCTTAAAAGAAAGTTGCTGTTTGATATTGCCAACAAAGACTTCTCAGCCTATCGTGTCAACATCCCGTATCTTATTTTTCCGGAGTTTAAGACATTGAGGTAACACTTTATTTTACAGTGTCCTTGTTACACATGTAGTTACTGTAGTAATAACTATGAATTATGCATAATTACATGCAACTAACCGTGTCCACGCCCTATAGTAAGTACATGTAGTTCATTATCATTACACAGTAATTAAATGTAATAATTACACTGTAAATACAAGTTTAACCGACATTTTCCATGAATAGGGTACGCTTTAGTGTCACATTACATTTGTTTTATGTAACAGAGACACAAAATCCCATTTTTGTTATCCTGAGGTCAATTAGATGTGTTAGATAAACTTAAATAAGCACATTTTAAACATATGAAATGTGTTTATTTCTCATTTAAAATACTTATTTTGGCTGGTCTTGAGCTCTTTTACTAAATCCGTTCAACTCTGTTATTGTAAAAAAAAATATATAATTTTTTGGCAAATATGGTTATAAGTAATTTCAAACCAGCATTTCATCTCAAACGTACTAGCCTCTACCGAATGATGGCTTAATTTTGGCTTATTTTTAATAACAGGGTTGAAACATTTTATATGGGGTTCGAAATTAAGAGATTATTTTAGTTTGACTTACTGAAATCAAAATTTCTGGAGGTTGAACAGGACCTATTTTGTACCCTATTTGTGTGAAGTGCATTTCCATGAAAAACAAGAAGCTGTGATAGTGACATGCAAACACATTTTAGTTAGCAGCGCGTACTTCCATTGCCCGCATCCTAAAAGGGCCACGTGTACTCTCATGCAGCAATAAAATCAAGGTCTGACATGCCCTGACTTCTTTGACATGTCATTGACTTCTTGAAAAGCTTATCATGGTAAGTGCTGTTACCCCCTACCTTCTCTCTCGAAATTACCTCTCTTTATCTTCAAACCCCAAACCGCTGCCGCAATGTAGCATTCACTCCAGTCCCCGCAAACATCCAGGCCTCAAGGGCACGTACTTTCACGGTAGATTGTCGCCAAACTGCCATTTGCCATCACTGGCCAAATATCACAAATGTTTCCACCACAGGCTATTTCGGACACATTGGTCTAGGAGCGTTTGTAAAGCCGGAACATCGTTAACAGCCACCAAGCTTTTACAAAGGTCACGTCTCTGGGGACATGCACACACAGTCTATTAACCTACAATAAACATTTATCTAGTGTTTCAAAATCCGAGATTTATGGTCAAAGTGGGCTGTGGTGGGATAAATCTTGACATCTGAAGGGGAAATAAGGATGTGTAGTTTGGACTGTGGAATATTCCACTGCTATGTGAACCGTTTAACCCAGCCAAACAATTAGAGTTCTTTTGTTAGAAAGAATTTGACAGGTTAAAGAGTTTAATGCAAACCTGTTTGAGGGTGCGTCTTGTAGATTTGTTTATTTAAGATGTATGGGATGTGATGTTTCCGAGAAAACCGCTGTTAAGATGTTTCTTGGCTAGGTTTGCGGATCGAGAACCGGTTTTAGTTCAGAACTGTTTTTGTTTGTTTTTTGCAGATGATTCCAACACTCTGGGATACAAAGACTCTGGAAATGTCTTTAATTTTTTAACAGTTTCAGTTCTGATTCCAATATATGTAGTTGGGTCAGTGTTTTTATCCTAGATGAAGAAAGTTATCGTTTTTATAATCTTAAGGAATAGTTCATCCAAAAGTATGTCATTATTTACTTGTCTCAACACAAAGCTTTTTGGAACTTGACAGACATGAGCCATCATGAATTGTTGTTGTATGTAAAGGAGCAGCATGAACATTGTTAAAAAATTCTCCTTTTGTGACTAAATGACACAATACGAGTTTTAAAAAAAAACAATGGTGAGTAAATAATGGCAGAATTTTCATTATGGGGTGACCTACTCTTTAAAACAATAAAAAGTAACCCACATGAAAGATTTATCTTGGTTCATATTATAACCATAAGCAAATACCATTTCAGGAACCAAAATGCAGCTGTATCCTGTGGTTTGTCAAAGTCAACAAATATTTTCTTTTACATTTTAGGACTTCCCTTGTGTGGTTCAAGCAGTTTTCCCACACTTAGAAATCTACTTTTTGGGGGTTATTTCTCCTTCAGTGTGGTCCTGTCCACACCAAAACACTTATAAACTCTGTATTTAATTGTGGATTAGCTGCATTTATTTCCTCACCCTGCATCTTTACAACCATGTTGGAAAGCACAAGCAAAATCTTTTTGCAGTAAAGTAGAAAGCACTCATTGTTCTACAAGACTTTGTTGAACAATCAGAGTCTCTGTTCAGGCCCCGTCGCATTAGGAGTCTACCCAAGGCTCGCTCCTAGGCCCCTTTAAGTTTTGGGTTTTTTCCTCCCTACTACCTTCCTGCCTGTTGCGTAATTCTACCAACTGCCTCCCAAAAATAAGACCTTTATTTATTTGAAATGTCTTATTTGACATCTGCTTTGCGGTAGACCACATTTTGTCTGCAGGTCGCTGCATTGCAGGCCAACGCCAGCAAGCAAAGTCTCAAAGAAGGGACTGTTTTCATTTCAGAGACATTTAACCATGATAGTGTAAGCATTTTAACATGTACGTACTATTCCAGGAGGAAAGACAATTGGCTTCCCTTTATATGTTAAAAAGGAGGGAAGGTTGGCACACCACAGCTCCAAAAATAGAAAAATATGTATTTCATGTTCTCACCACAGGTGATGTTTCAAGCCAAGTGGCTCCTTCATCATTCCTTTTATATGTGCAATATTGAGACCAGAGAAAGGTTTTTAAAAGATTTTACATACGCTTTATAAAGCTCCAAATGTGTTCATCCCTATGCATTTTGAATTCCTGATGTATGCATTGATATGTGTATTTTTGAATGTGTAATATGAAAGTTCTATTCTCTGTACAGTATTTTTGTATGAACTAAACCTGGCTGTTTCCACAGCGTATTGAAGCTCAATGGCGAAAGATAACTGATAATCAAGTCTATTCTGGTTTGGCTAGACTGGTTTGGTGTTGAGACCCATTCCTTGTCGATACGGGAATGTGCTAATGATATCCTTTTTTTAATAACGACTGAATAAAAGAGGTAAAATGCAACACTGTGAGTCAAATTCAATGTGTTTGATGATCACTGTAAATGCAATTTTGTGAGAGACCATTGATTCTTACAATTTTACTACTATTTTTTATTCAATGTGTGCATAAATTCACCATTTTATTAGATTTTCTGTAAGTTTTATCAGTTTTATAACACTGAAGTCAGGAAGAGGTTAAGGTTTCGGTTTTATAAGGTTTTGCAAGGTTTCAAATTCCCCACGTTATTATACCCTGTCAGATATTTATGAATACATTTATACAAATCAGAAAACATCAGTCAGCCTTGATCTTGAAGGTCTACTTTCCATATTTAATCTGCTATTAGATTATATTAGTATATACACTCACCTAAAGGATTATTAGGAACACCTGTTCAATTTCTCATGCCACGGCTAAATGCCACGGCCTACCTGAGCATTGTTTCTGACCATGTCCATCCCTTTATGGCCACCATGTACCCATCCTCTGATGGCTACTTCCAGCAGGATAATGCACCATGTCACAAAGCTCGAATCATTTCAAATTGGTTTCTTGAACATGACAATGAGTTCACTGTACTAAAATGGCCCCCACAGTCACCAGATCTCAACCCAATAGAGCATCTTTGGGATGTGGTGGAACGGGAGCTTCGTGCCCTGGATGTGCATCCCACAAATCTCCATCAACTGCAAGATGCTATCCTATCAATATGGGCCAACATTTCTAAAGAATGCTTTCAGCACCTTGTTGAATCAATGCCACGTAGAATTAAGGCAGTTCTGAAGGCTAAAGGGGTCAAACACAGTATTAGTATGGTGTTCCTAATAATCCTTTAGGTGAGTGTAGTTTTATTATTATAAATATATTACGAATACGTAACATTTTAAGATTTAATATTAATACATTCATATTATATACAATATATATACAGTGTAAAAAAAGTTGTAGAGTTACATTTTTAAGTATAATCAACTTGGATGTTTAAGTAATTTCAACTTAAATTAAAATGGGTTGAATCTTATATTTAAAAAAGTTGAACTTATTTGGATTATTTTGAGTTGAAAATTGAATTTTGATGAGTTAAAGCAATGTAAAAACATATGTTGTCGTAACTTATGGTATAACATTGTGTCATATCATAATTTTTTTAAGTATATATCCTGTTAACTGGCACCCCCCTTTTTTTTGCATAGACATAAAAATCACTATCCAAACTTAAATGGTTGTAATTCAGGAATGCTTTGGAATATAGACCTATGCCTGGTCTTGTTTTAAAGAAGACATTTTCCAGAATATCGTAGAAGTCTAGAAATGATAAAAAATGAAACAGAAAAAAAAGTTATATAAGTTTGAGTTTATGAAATGGTGTAATGTAAAATTTAATTATAAATATTTTATATAAAATATATATATTACAAAATATATTTTACTCTAAAACTGCAAGAAAATTAAAGACAACAATCTGAACAAGTTGTATTCCAAATTTTAGGTTGATATCTAAACAAATGAGCTTTCAGTAAGATTTTATTTGGGCGCAGTACCCAACTTTTTCACTAGACTCCATTACTGCCCAAATAAGGGCGCCTCCATTTTCATATATGTTTTGAGTGATCTGAACCATGTATTTCCATAATTTTCATACAATTTATGAAGTAGACATCCTATTCAGAAGTAGTATGGGTGGTTTGGCAGTATTTGATTTGAATTCAACCTCTAATAAATGCATAAAAAGACTACGTTATAGCGTTATAGCTCGCAGCCAATCAGAAATCGAGAATCCATACATTTTTCTTTATATTTAAAACATTTTCAGACCTTTTTTTGTCATAAAATGGAATTGGTGTTATCTTTTGAACTCATGGCATGAAAACAAACTGAGGTTTCTACCAATCTTTCATGATTTTTCATGTTTATTGTTATTTCAAAATAAAGGCCTAAATACTCCTAATGAATATGAAATATTCTTGTTGCAAATTGATAAATTACTGCTCCTCTGTAATTTATTTTAGATAACAGCCACCAAATATGAAAACTAGAGATTTTAAGCTTTCAAATGATATATAGTTTGGCAATATTACTTTAGGTTTTTACTAAGATATTATTGTTTTAAACATGCAATGGCAAATGTGGTAAACTTGCACATTTACCTGCTTTGCAATTCACTGCAAATTGTTAAACCCTTGTTACAAAAAAATACACTGTACAGAATTTTCTCAGAAGACAGCGGTGAGTTAGTAATGACCAGGGACATCTAATGAGATCACAAGTGGCTTCGAGGGGCTCTGAAATGAGTGAATGTTTGAAAGACTTTCAACAGGAACACCTGTCACAAACTGGAGGTGTGGGGCTTTCACACTGGAGTCCGCTGTATCATGTCCAAATAGAGCAGAGGTAAGCCTGGTTAAAATGCACTGTGCTCTCTCCCACAGGGCCTGGTTTAACCCCACAGTCTCCGCGGGAGATTTGCTGGTGACGGGTTTCCTGCTGGTGAGTAGCCAGCACTTTTGGAAATGCTGTTCTGTTTTATCCTCTACTTCTCGAAACACACTTTTCAACACCTGGGAAATGGACAGGGCTATTTTTGAAAGCGAATTGTGGGTGTTGAGCTGCACAACACGTGCACACAGGATCAATTTTGGTCATTTTGTGAATTATAACAACCACTTTCATAGTGGTCTGAAGGTAATTTTTGTGGCACTCATCGTGTGTTGCATAACCAAAAGTGTTTTTCTGTGCCCCTTTAGCCAAAATGTATTTTTGTGATGCGTTAATGTGTAAATGTATGAGAAACTGTTGATGTTCCTGATACTGAACCGAACAGAGCGCACGGGAGCAGCGGTTGCTATGGTAACGTCCTCAGCCAACAGGACTAGTTCACGAGCTTATCTTGGGTGCCAGGTAAAATGATCAGTTCTGACTTTGGCATGAACTTTTAGGGTTAGTGAAATGTCTGTTTGACTGTGATCTACATTTGATATTTTATTATCAGAAATAGAGATGTTTGTTTACATAATAAAGAACGGACGGACAGAGATATATATATGGATATATAAAAATACAGATGGATGGATGTTGTGCCAGATCAGTTTGACTGATTGTAGGTATTGATGTTCTGGCATTTTAACAGAATTGTCATAGGATGCTAATCCTGTTTAACATGATGAATGATTAGAATAGAAAGGAATGATATTGTTGTCTTGAGATCATTTGTTCCTCTAAGAACAAACAGTCCTTCCATTCACTAGCAGTGTGCCCATGTACTGAGTTTATTTTTGTTTGTAGGTCATGGTAAGCAGCCAAAAATTCAATATTTACCGTGGTGAAAGATGCTGAGGTCGGTGGGGAAAACACTCGAAATTGGGTCAAACAAACATTACCTCCTTTTATATAACCAAAAACAATCAAACTTTAAAGAAATACTACCTTACTTTTACATATTCCGAAGAAAATGTGAGTGGTGTTTGCTAGATGGTTGCCAAGGCGTTGCTAGGTGTGCGGTTCCTTACTGACCCAAATCAAAAGAGTCCGCCCCCGACTTTTAGCATGATTATCATATCAACATAAAAATCACAAATCAACAAAATCACTGTTTTTAAAAGATAAATGTTTATTAAGAGATAAAAACTTTTTTTTGTTTCATTTTTCGTGACTTTTTTTCTCTTTTTTTGGGTACTGTAAAATCTTTTGTCGATATACACTTGCTTTTTTTTACTTACAGATATCCTCAAAATAAAAAAATAAAACATTTCTAGTCATTACTTGAAAAAGGTTCTGCATTTATAAACACTGTCCCATTTAGCTCCTCTTCAAAAATGGAAGGGTTCAAAGAGACGTGCAACAGTGGGAAATCAGTCTCTGTCTTTAAAACACACCCTGAGACTGCAAATTAAATCTCTGTATTGCTAAAGAAATTGTGCCTCTTTCAACATTTACATATTAATTCGCAGTTAATAAAAGTATCCCAAAGGTACCAAGGTAGAAGCTGTTGAGATCAAATGAGCCTCTCCCTTTGTGATTGGCTACAGTTTTGTTTAACTTGGCCAAGTCAAAAAAGAATATTAAAATCCAATAAATTTAATCCATAACATTGGCATAAACCTTAGATTTCAGCTTTACTTTCTAATAAAATGAAATAAAAAGTATAAATTGTCACAGTAAGTAGATCTGCATTGAGTTTTTGGTGTTAATTCAGCATACCGTGTACGGCAGCTTAAATTGGCCCCTGTTCATTGTTTCTGACATATTACAACTGCTCATAAATCATACATAATTCCACACTTCCAAGTACCAACTTTTTCGAAAGACAGGTGAAAACAGGAACAATGCATATCGTTCTACAAAGTATTGCACATTACAGTTCGCAGCAAGCTTTTTTTCTTCGTCGATTAACAGTTGTGGATGAGCTCTATTGAGAATACAGTGATGTTTTTGAATACAAAAGGCAAATGTGATTGGAAATAAAAATAAACAGATTTGATACAAACGCAAAACGTAAATTCTACGTGGTTTTAAAAATCTTGCCAGGCAGCTTCACATCCCGACCCCTCAAAATAAAAAAAGTGATATGTTATCAAATCAGGCGCTAATTTACAAAGCGCAAAAAAACAAAAAAAACAAAAAAAAAACGGTAATTGCGCAAATAGAATGGCGACGCCCATATTCTTGAATTTGCTACAAAATCGCTCTATTCGAATGCATCTTTAGAAGAGGGAAGAGATACTGTTAAAGAATTAGCATTTCCGATGTATAACTCTAGACGTCGGAAAGGAGCTCTTACAAAACAGTTAGACTTAAAGGGATAGTTCACGCAAAAATGAAAATTCGGTTATCGTTAACTGACTCTGTCATTCCAAACCTGTATGACTTGCTTTCTTCTACTGAACATATGTAGAAGTTTTTCAGGTTTTTTTCTCCATACAATGAAAGTTAATGTTTTGGACCCCATAAAACATGGGGGGTGAATGAACTTTTTTTTTTTTTTTTGCGCAAACTGTCCTTTTAAAGGGTGCACCATTGTGGAGAATCTAGTGTCCTAGTTATATAGTGCACTGAAAACAAGCAGAGCTAACGTCTCGATTCTTCCGGACTGCACAATCTCCAGTCTAAACAGTTTGTTGGGACACACTTAAAGCTACAACTATCCAGGATCATTATCCCTTACAAAGAGGACCATTCACGATGGGCGAGAATGAGGGTGGCATTTTTAAAATCTTTGTACACCAATGTTACTTTTTACGAATCATGTTTACGGAGCCCTTCGTTTTTTTTGTCCCCCACCCCCCCCCAATGATTCTTGTCTAAAAATAAGCACAGCTCAATTTCGATTTTAATATGTACAAGATAAAAGTTACAAAAATAGAACGGGCATGGTTCTACGTTCATGATACTGCTGGTTGCGATCTGTTCTCTGTCTAATAACAGCGACGATAATAGTAATATAATAGTATTATGATAAAAATATTAAAAATACAGACAGAAAAATGTAACTTCCTCTGTAGAAAAACAAAACAAAAAACAAAACAAGGACTCCTAGTGCAGATGCGTAGCAATGTAAACCTGGTCCTACGACTATGTCAAAAGTTACAGAGTATATTTTAATATATGTATATAGAATCACATATATATATATATATATATATATAATGGAAAAGCAGGTCATTTGAATCCTCTCACAGAGAGCGTTCACATCATGGTTTCTACGATGGTGTGTGTGGGCTTCGTCAAGCCTCCGTTCCAGTTGGGATCCAGGGGCTGCGCCAGCTCGTTGCTCTTGGCCTGGTACTCTGGGGGGCAAGAACTGGCCCCGCCCCTCACGGGGGCCGCCACGGCTTTGATCCTCTGGAGGGACACGGGAAAGTGACGTTATTGGCCTGTTGGCGGACGGAAAATCTGCGGTTTGTCGTTGGTGCGAGTGACTCACCTCGATGAGGGGTCCATCTGATTGAATGATTTTGATCACAACCACCATAGGTATGCAGATCATGGACGCCAGGGCGAGGGTCCAGCCGACTCCGATGGACCAGTCCGGGTACTCGTAGACTTTGTTGTATCTCAGGGGCGTGTACTTGACCAATGAGAAGATAAAGCATCCCTGCAGCAGAAGAGAAATCAGGGGTCATCTCCTATTACATTCATGTAAGGGGGAATCTCATGAAAACTCTCTAGATCATATTAGAATTCAAAACTAATAACAACATTATTATTATTATGATTAACTAAGATTAAAATAATGAATAAACTATATTTATTTAAATAGCATTATTACAATTATTTTAATTTAGTTTATAATTTAATAAAAACATACTTTTCTATTTATTTAATACATACAAATATTATAAACAGTTTATTATTTTTAAATACAATTATAGACATTTTATTTTGCCATTTAATAATAATAATAATAATAATAGTAAAATAACAAATAAATAGAATTGTTTGTTATTTTAATTCAGTTGTTTATAATTTAATCAATAATACTTTTACCATTCATTTATACATAATAAAATAATATGACTATAGTTATTTATTAGCTATCATGTATTAATATTAATCATATAATTTATTTATTAAATAACATTAATAACATTTTATTAATGATTAAATGATAAACAATGCTATTTATGGCTATTTAGCCATTTATTTGTTTAATAATGATAGATGATTAAAATAAAATATTAGTAGATTTATTTAGTTATCTAATAATAAACTTTAATAAAATAATATTACTATAGTTATTTATTTGCTATGTATTAATATTAATCATAATTTATTGATTAAATAACATAGTATGTATTATTGATTAAATGATAAACAATGCTATTAATTTGTTTAATAATGACAATTAAAATAAAAAAATAGTAGATTTATTTAGTTATTTAATAATAAACTTTAATAAAATGTAATAAGAATAAAAAAATAGTAGATTTATTTAGTTATTTAATAATAAACTTTAATAAAATGTAATAAGAATAAATCATTTATTAAACAAAGTGTTTATCATTATTTAGCCTTTATAATCCAATCAATAATGAATACCTGTACTATTTATTTAATAACAATGCTTGATAACTAAATAAATGTTTTTTTTGTTACCATTTTATAATATAATTTAATATAATTAATAATAGGTCCTAAAATATGCTTATACCGGTAGATATTTTTTGGTCTTTTGGCTTTGAGGTGAATTATGACCTAGGTTTTTCTTTGTGGGATTCATCCTTAAAGATCAGTCAAAAGTCAAATTAATTTAAATTTTATATTTTATATATATATATATATATATATATATATATATATAAAATTCCGATCATGCAAGAGTCCACCAAGTTTCCAAAATGACTAAACAGGTTATTACACGTCAAAAGAGCCATCTATTTTAAGAAAGTCTTTATGACTGCACATAAGGAAGGGATTTCTTTTTTTCCTTTATATAGTCCTATAATGTTCATAGAAAAACTACATTCATGATCTCATGGAAACTAATCCTGCACTCGTCCTCAGCTCCTTCATTCATCCTGTTGGCCAGGCAGATGGTCACCCCATCTGGAGCGCTGTTACAGTGAGATGCGAGCCGGATTTTTGCAGCAAATCCAAAGCGGAAAAGCAGTATTTGCATGTGTAGCCGTAGGGGGGAGGGTAGAAAAGCACACAACCTCCAATTGAACTGTATAAGACACTCTTTCATAGGTTTAATGCATCATTTTAAGTGCAAATATACTGTGTAGTGGGCCTAAGATCTGTGAATGTGCATTTCTTACTGTATCTATATGCTATAAACTACCAAGTTAGCCTGTTTTAAGGACCTTTTCTCTGTAAAGAACTTACCACACACAGAAAAGGTGTAATTACAGTCCAACTCCACTTCATCCAGGGATTTGGTCTGTAACCAATCATCTCTTCAATCGCATCATAGAAATTATCAGCGCCTTTTGAAAAGAAGAAGTGTGTTCAGGTATGAAATTCAAAAGCATTAACACATGATCCTACAGTGCACATAGACTGGAACAAAGTTACTGCATTGTTTAAGATGGGAATTACATTAGTAGCGTATCAATTAGTTGTCTTGTTTTGGCTTGGCTGGGAAAAAAAAAACGTTTTTTTTTACCGTAATTTGTGCAAACAGTGCAGTATGTTACTCGTAAAATCCTGCATAGTAAATAATATCAGTATTTGAACCTGAATCTACAGGCATGCAGGGTTTAATCCACCTTAGCAGCTCTGTTATATCAAGGGAAGTTGGCATGTACTGACATATTCATGACACATTTAGATTTTGAAATCAAGGTCATGACAGTAGCGAACAAAAGACTTTATGTAGACTTTCTCAGAACTAGGTTAAACTGTTTAACTGATTTGGGCAATAAATGATTTGCTCTGATTGATCCAAAGTCTGTTTAAACAGAGATCCACACCTGAGAAATTCACAATCATTTCTTTCATAGAAGAAAGAAGTTTGTCCACAATAAGGCCTTTGTTTCATCTCCCAAGAAAAGAGATTTGCTGGCTTGCCTGCTGGCACTTTCCATTAATAAACTAAGAAATAATGCTTAAAAGTCCAATTTGAGCATTTTTTTTTTACAAACAGTCAGTGAGTGAAGGTGTTTACCCATAATAATGAACAAAAATATTAAAGGTGCAGTATGTAAGAATGACTAGTGGTTGAAATGGGTACTGCAGTCGAATTCAAAATATCGGAAACCTCAGACTGGACGGCGCTAACACAGGTTGCCAGTTTGAGCACACGCAACAGGAACAAGCGCAATGGACAATGAAAATTGGCAAATTGGAAAAGTGCAGTATCACAGACCAAAACAACAACAAACATTCCAGCCTGGAAACGCACCTTTCAAAGTAAAATAACTGGTATGTGAACTTAGCATGTTTCCTCAATATATGCAAACATATTATGGTATTTGTTATGCTTTTGTAGAGTGAAAAAGTTACATACAGCACCTTTAAGTAAAAAGTTAATTGGGTAACAGGGTTGTAAATTTAGCCTAAATTAGCAACCCAGCTAGCTAGGGGTCAAATGTTGATAAACGCATATTTCCTATTAAAAAAAAGATACATATTAGTTAGATTTTTCTCTTAACCTCGCTAACAGGGTTTAATGGCTAAACTTTTGAATTAAGTCAACATTCAATTTGTGTAGCAATTGTAAAGATTATCATTTGTAAATGGGGGGGGGGGGGGGGGGGGGTTACAGATTTAGCCTAAATTACTTATTTTTTGTTGCATCTTTTTTTCTTACAATAACTTTGGTAACAGGGTTGAATGGCTTAACCTGAGAAAGCGGCATGAGATCATATTGTAGAAAGGTTACAAATGAGTTTTACTTCTTTAGTATAACATTTTTAAAGATAGTTATTTGTAATGAGGGAAAATCATGGAGTAACAAGGTTGCATATTTAGCCTAAATTAATATTTTAATCAGCAGTGGCGAGCTAGTTAGGGGGTCAAATTTTGATTTGCCGATATTGATAAACTCATTTTTCGAATACAAAAAGGATACATAATTGTTTGACCTTTATTTTCGTACAATAACTTTGGTAACAGGGTTGAAGGGGCTTAAAGAATGAAGTCAAGATTCAATTTGTTTAAAAACTGAGAAAGCTGAGAAAGGGGAATACAAAATGTGGAATACAACCAAACCTTGCGTTTTTAGTAACAGGGTTTATTGTTTTAAAGTAATGGCACACTAATTTGTACCCCAATCATGGCAAGTGCCTGCTACAGTTCACCATTATGACTTACATTTTCTGTTCACTTGTTGTACTCACCATAAACCCAGGCTACAGCAATACATTCAAAGAATGCAACCCATAAAAGGCACACGCCACTGGCTGCATAGTAGTCAAAGAGTTGAAACACATACATGCCACCCTGAAAAAGAGACAAAAAACGATTGAAAAAAAAGTGAGTAGGCTCTAACACATGCTGTAATTGCAAAGCTGACATAATAGAGGACTGTTATGACCAGGGGTTGGCTAAACACTTGACTAATTTTCTTTTGGTAACAAAGACATTTGTTGCACAATGCATTCAGGGGTGACATGAGACATTATGTCATGGAAAAAAAATGGGACACTGTGTGGCTCAAGCCACAGAATAGCATTCCCAGTTCGCTGTTCTGGGGGATTAGCAATCAGGGGCCGATATTTGAAGGGGGCCAGAGGAATCTTAGATGTGCATTGTCATACCAGACCGGATCTCCTAGTATAGCAGTGAGACTCCTCTATGGAATTCTCAGTGCTCAAAGCAGGTCAGGATGTCCATAAAAACACATGGAAGTGGGAGCGATAAGGCACTGCTGGGAGGTGAAAACTGATTTCACCAAGTACAGGATGTTCCTAGATCAACATCTTTGTTGATCCTGGAACAACATTCCAATCAACCAATCAGATTTGAAGTTTACAGTTTATGTCAAGTTTAGGCTTACAGCCAAGGTTAGATGATGCTTCTACATCAGTGTTATTCACCTACCATTTCCCCCTGATTTTAGGGATAAGTTATGGGTAGGTTAGGGACTAAGTTTTCAGACAGTAATGTTGTTCAAGGATCAACAAAATATGTTGATCCAGGAACATGTATTAGTTGGCAAAATCACAGTGATCCTGCTGGGTGTGGAAGACTCTTCCTTATGGGAGAGAGTAGATCTGGCATGAGTCTGGCATTCATCCTGATTACAGGAACTGAGGGTTTGGTTGAGGGCCACATACTATCAAATGACCATTAAACTAAGCTGTATTTGATACACTCTTTATTTAGCCAGGAGAAACCAGCTGGTCCAATATGTTGGCAAAGTGGTAAAGACTAGAATTAGAATGGATTTGGAAGGGAATGCGCCATTAAAAGGTGTAAAAAAAGATTGTTCGTCTGTTTTACTTACATTGGTGACCATGGTAAGTCCCAACAGGTAGCTCAAAAAACAGACAATAGCTATGAAGATTTCACGCCGATAACCCTTCCGTAGGAAGGATGGATACAGATCCACTAGGGATGTGATCTGCCCTTCCACTTCGACAAACTGAGAAAAGAAAAGAAACACTGTTAGTACAAACAGGCTTGCTGTGTGCAGACTCAAGCTGAAAAGGCAACGCTTCCATATATTTTGATGATTTACCAAGTGAAAATGAAGCCATGAAAAAGTTGTGCCATGTTTTGTAATCATAAACCTACTAAGTTTGTGGCTTTTAGTTCTTGACTATTATCATTTCTGCTCTCTCAGTATCATGGTTTTGCTAGGCTAGTCTAAAAGGCTATTTGCTGTAATATCCAACTCCATCTGATAGTTCAGCTTCAGTTTAAATGGTCTATAAAGTTGTGACATACTGTAGTGAAAGGCATCTATTACTTTAAGTAGAACTGTACATAGAAACCCCTTTAATGTTACCCAGCACAGCTGCATGGATATTATTTTCGATAAGCATACTTAATTTAAAGGGATACTCCACTTTTTTTGGAAATAGGCTCATTTTACAACTCCCCCAGAGTTAAACTGTTGAGTTTTACCGTTTTTGAATCCATTCAGCCGATCTCCGGTTCTGGCGGTACCACTTTTAGCATAGCTTAGCATACATCACTGAAGTGGACAAGACCATTAGCATTTCCCAAAAAAAATGACCAAAGAGTTTCGATATTTTTCCAATTTAAAACTTGACTCTTCTGTAGTTACATCGTGCACTAAGACCGACGGAAAATCGCAACTTTACATTTTCCGTCGGTCTTAGTCCACGATGTAACTACAGAAGAGTCAAGTTTTAAATAGGAAAAATATCGAAACTCTTTGGTCATTTTTTTTTTTTAGAAATGCTAATGGTCTTGTCCACTCCAATGATGTATGCTAAGCTATGCTAAAAGTGGTACCGCCAGAACCGGAGATCGGCTGAATGGATTCAAAAACGGTAAAACTCAACAGTTTAACTCTGGGGGAGTTGTAAAATGAGCCTATTTCCAAAAAAAGTGGAGTATCCCTTTAACAGTCCAAGTGGTTTGTGGACTCCCAGGATGTGGATGGACACTGATTTAGCAGAGTGTTTAATTTCACTGGGACCGAGAAATATGATAGTACAGGACTCCAACTGCTGTTTGGCGAATAATCTGCCAACAAAACTTTTTCTTTTTTTCTTTTTCTGTTTGTTACCAGGTTTTCATGGGCAGGGGCATAGCCGGTGAGGGGGACACAAAAAATCAAGTGTAATACCAGTTAATTCTGACCTTTGTCTAATTGAAAGGTTCTGTTTTTATCTCTTGCTTTTAATTGGCTAAGAAATGAAATACACTGCTGAACAATATGAATGAAACAGACTTTACATAAGAGTGTTTAGGGCTCCATAATGCTCACATCGCCTCGTTCTGTATAAGAATAAAACGTCAGTTCATGCATAGACTATCTTGTCTCTTTGAATTTAGATCGGGATGAATTTACGTTTTATTGAAAGTGCGGGGGATAAAATGTTCACAGCGTCTGGCTGTCATCACCACCCTATAAACTAGTACTCAAGCTGTTTAGCATACCATTTTATTCATTTGACACTCACCTGACTGTCGAGGCCCAACAGCAGAAGCATGATGAAGAAAAGAATGGCCCAAAACGTAGGCAGTGGCATCATAGACACAGCTTTAGGGTAAGCAATGAAGGCCAAGCCAGGACCTATTGGGAAGAGAACAGAGGGAGGTGGGGAAGTGGAGAGAGCACAATTAGCAAGGCTAGCAATTTGCACACTTTGATCTATGCCTTAGCGGTGCGTTTCGTTGTCGGCACAGACCAAAAGGAGACATGAAAGAAAAAAGGAGCGAGTATCTACAGGACAAAGCGATCAAGCCAGGCAAAATTACTGCCAGTGGTTCATTGAAAGTCCAATGACTGTTTCATTGCATCTTCTGGCAAAATTAGCATCTTGATGTTAACTTCGGCTGCTTCCAAATCTAGAAAAGGTTTAATCAGCGGCGTGATATTTCCCCTGTATAACACTACAGGTTACATATTCAACACTACATAGAACAACTTCAGAGAGTCGAGGCAAAATACAAACTAGGGGTGTGCCCAAAGCGAATTTCGAATCAGGAAAGGCACGGAAAAGGAATAACGCATTCTAGGGAGCCCATAAACGGACATGGTTAGGCTTGCTGTGGTAGTCAGTTACATTTCACAGTACATCAGAGTACATCAGAATTCACTTATCACGTGAAGATAGTAAGGAGAGATGGCTGACAGGAAAATGGCAAAGGATTTGGTGCGCAACAGATCCTGACAAATATCTTGTAGAAATCTGTACCGGCGCTCCCTATAAACAAAAGTATGCATGGCCGCGGATTCGAGTAAAAAGCAAGCATGCATTCAAAAAAGCGATTTGAATACCCCACATTATATACAATGTAATTACCCAACTATATAATTGCGAGACAATGCAAAAGCATTGAAATATATTTTTTCCTTTCATCTCATATTTTTCCTTCACCATGTCCTTTTAGAGGCTCCGTAGAATCCGTTATCTCCTTTCCAAAATAAGAATTCAACTTCGGGCACATCCCCAATACAAACACCTCCACTTGCTAGCATTACTGCAACATCAAATGTAGGATTCAATCCGTTCAACAAAGGTTAAATACAAGAACAAGCACAATGCATATAATAAAACCAAAGAACAAATTAAAACAATGGATCGAAGTAACATAGCATCAATGTCAAAGTACACTTTCTGCAGAGTCAGGTTGATGCATCCGAGACTGACCTCCCCAAAATTGACTTCTCTTTTGCAAAAAGCTCCTTTTAGCTTCTTGACATTTGTAATGTTTAGAAATGTATCCAACCAAATAATCCTGAAAGACTCCCTGATAAGGATCCTGTGGCTTCGTTCAACCTTAATTGTGCTGATATGCACGGAAGTTCAAGTAAAGTTTAGGTTTGTATGTCTTATAAACAAAGTGATAAAGATGTATGTTTTGTGCACCTCGCTTGAGCCAGACATACTTAGACCAATGTCTCCAAAGAGGAGGGCCAAAGCAGGAACAGTGAAGATTAGACATTTGGAAAACCTTGAGCTTGAAAGCAATCTATACATCAACTGATCTCTCTCACCATGAGACTTGCTGCATCTTAATACAGCATGAAAAATGCAAAACAATTATGAGAAATGCACTAGATGGCCAAAAGTATGTAGAAACCAGAACATCTCACCCATATGCACTTGTTGAACATTTACTTTCAAAACCATGAGCATTAATATAATAAGCTTCCCCTCTTCTGGGAAGGCCTTCCAGTAGATGTTTGCACAGAGATTTGCTCCCATTCATCAGTGAGGTCAGGCACTGATGATGGGTGATGAGGTCTGGCTCACAGTCGAGGTTCCAGTACATCCAAAAGGTGCTCGATGAGGTTCAGGTCTGGGCTTTGTGCATGGCAGTCAAGTCCTTCCACACCTGACTCAGTAAAACATTCTTTCTTAAGGAGATTGCATGGTTGTATGCTTCATTTTAGGCACCTGATAGTAAGTAAAGGGTGTAGCTGAAATAGCCAAACCCATTAATTAGACGAAGGTGTAAACATACTTTTGGTCATGTAGTGTAGTGTCCAGGCCCCAGGGTAGAAAAAGGAACCAATAGGAACTGACTTAGCGACCTTAATTAAACTGCGTAAAGAGTTCTTTAGGACTTAAACCCAAACTCTCCAAAAAAGCCTGTTGTAAATTGCCTTTATCCTGAACTTGGCACAAGATGCTTCTTGATTAGGGTCACCTGTGGAAACCAACTGAACAGCGATGAATGCTAATCAGTGTTTTCACGCAACTGTTGATTCTTCACCATTAGTGGAATAGGGCTTAAACAAGTTCCCAGTGGCTCCAAGAATGTTCTCCATACAGTTCTACAGTCGATTCCAAGCGAATTCCAGTTCCCACCGAGAGACCGTATTAATTCATATTTGTTTTTTGTCTGCTGAATGACGGTGAAGCTTCCGAATGTTATACTTTCTTTTTAGTCCTAGGTCCTGGAACTAGTTTTATTGGCTCCGAATCGCTTGTTGTCGCCGATTTTTCACTACAGGGTTGACCAAACGTTTTCATGTTGTTATTTGCAGCAGCAGTGCCCACCATCACTGCTACTTGACCCTCGTACCTGACTCTGCCACATCGGCTATGTCCACCCCTTGCTCTTGTGCCATGAAGCCCAGGACGGAAAATATTGCGAAGCCAGACACAAAACTGGTAGCGCTGTTCAGGCCTCCCAGCAGCAAACAGTCCCTATGTCACACATATGTCATGGAGTTTGTTAATTAACACAAAGGTACCCTACGTTCCCACTTTGCCCGTTCCCTGGACTAAGCCTCCCTCCCGCCCCGGGGCATCGAAACCCACCTGTAGCAGTTGTATTTGTACTTGTTGTAGCTTCCCAGTGACGTCATGGCTCCAAGACAGATGGCGTAAGAGAAGAAAATCTGTGTCCCTGCATCGATCCACACCTAGACAGAAGACGCCAAACCATCCGTTGACTGACAACATGAATTGACCAAACTCAAATATTTGCATGCGTTCTGCCTCTCGTAGGTCCTCAAGAACTGTATACACCATCAAGAACTAATATAAATTGTTTCAACAACTGCATGTCATGTTTAGATTTGTAGCTTTCTGACTGAGGCCATCAAGAGCTTTATTTATGTCGACTCTTTTGCACATCTTGGGTTGCTCTCTGTAAACTGCACATCCAAAGTTTATTCTGGTTTTAGGTTGCGGATGGTCACTGGAGTACATTATGTCAACAAGTGTAAACAGCACTTTTCCTGCTGAATAGTTCATCTTAGAGGGCTGATTTATATTGGTTAATGTTAATTTTGTAGCTGGTGGACTAGCATAGCATGTTGTTCACCTAGCTTTTGAAGTTGGTCTACCAACAGTTGGTCTTTCTGTTGAAGCTAGTTGACCAAAGTAGTCTTTTTTTGGCCTGATGGGGACCACTGTCCAAAACATATGCTAGGAACCAACTATTATGTCTTCTCAGCAAGTTAGATAGACATAAAGACCAAGTAGATGTGTTAGATGCACTTGAGATTGTGTGGAATCAAATTCCAGTGGGTGGGTGATATTATAAAGCCTTTTGAGAAGACATGTAAATAGCTATGAGATCTTACCTCTGGGTCTCCAAGGCGAGTCAAATTTGGGTACAGATAAAATTTGATGCCTTCGGCTGCCCCAGGAAGAGTGACACCCCGTACAAGCAGGACAATTAACATGACAAACGGGAATGTTGCCGTGACGTACACAACCTAAGCAGAAAAGTCAAGAACACTGAGGTTAAATTTAATGCTATGGTTGTATGAAAAACCCACAAGCTTTATTTGTGATTTAACAATTTAGAAAACTACAGCAAAACTTTTTCCACAGGGTCTTTATAAGCCCTGTCATACTTTCCAACATTCTAAGATAACACTGTCAAAACAATTTCCAAGGCTAACATGCAATTTACAGCTTAACTTCACTAACAGATAAATGTTGGCTTTAGTGGCCAGAGTGGTCATATGCTTTTTGGTCAGAGAGTGAGTTCTAGATGGGAGAAAAGCAGCACCTCATTTAATGTTTGGTTAGGCTGGAAATGTTATGTAACACAATGCCGAAGAGTACATCAAAACATTAATATCTGCAATAATATTTAAAATAGCATTGCTCTCAAGCCAAATACCTCATTCACAAAAATGTATAATTTTATATGAATAACTGAAAGTAATCTTTCACTTGCAACCTTTAATGAAGCTCAGTAAAAATTACAAAAAATAAAATGGCTTAAAGTGAAGAAGTAAAGGAGTCTATAAAGATAAGTTCACAATGCCCAATTCTAAAAACCAAATTCCATTGGTTATTGGGTTTTGCTTGATCAATGTTTCCCAACATAATAAAATCCATCAGCCAACTTGAAATTTTGCCACTAGTTGGGGCAGCATGAACCAGCCTTTAATGTGCAAATAAATCTTAAAGTCTTAAAGTAGATAATGCTAGCATTGCGATAGAGTAATCTAACGTGACAGTGTCTTGGCAGAAGTCATGATAAGATTCTCAACTGCATGGTCAAGGGGAACGTCTGTCCAAGTCAAGAGAAGGTGTCTGCTGATTGACTTTACAGTCTCTATTAGGAATGAGGTAAGCTATAGTTACCATTGCTGCTAATCACCAAGGAATGACTGCTATGTTTATGTTCACAACACTGACTAAGGTAGCACTCAAATCTACCAAGCTACTTATAACTCCAATGACACTGTAGAAACTAATATTAGAAGGCCTTAAAATAACTGGCTGAAGTTGAAAAATTCATGTAACCAAGCTCACCTTCCCAGTGGACTTAACACCTTTCCAGATACAGAAGAAACAGATGACCCACACAGCGAGCAGACACAGAGCCAGGTCCCATTTAACATGACCCACGTCCTCGATACCATCGGAGATGCTGAGGACATTTCGCCTGTGGTGGAAAGAATGTTTGCCAGTGAGACTCTCTGAAGCCCTTGAGGTTGTTTAAGGAGCTAGCATTTAAATAATCAGAGAAGTTATACAATACACAAAGGACAGATGAGTTCTCTACAGAGGAAGAAGTGTTTAAGAACCAGTCAGAACAAGTCATCATAGAGCCGGGGTATAGCCAACCAGCTCCTGCATGACAACCTTGCTACAGCCTTCCGTTTCCTAAATACCTTGATTAGATGTTCAGGTGTGTTTGATTAGGGTTGGAGCTAAACTCTACAGGACTGTAGCATAGTTGGATACACCTGCCATAGAGCAGTGTTTCTCAACCCTGGTCCTGGAGGACCCTAGCCTGGGAAAACCCAGACAACTTCCGGCAAATTTAGATTTGCTCTGAAAGTTAGTCTGGCAAAGAGCTCATTGAAGTCCATTTCCAATCCGTCGAAATCACGGCACCAATCAGAAACGTTGGGGCGGGCTTTACACGATGACGACAGCACAGCGACGGTGAAGCAGATTTTTTACATTTACAAAGATGGATGCCGCCGTGGAACTATGTGTGACGGTTATAGTTGAACACCGTCATTAGAACTCTATAACCACCAAAACCATGTTATTAAAATATTTTTTCACAAACATTTATCATAGAGAATGTTTAAATACTAATATCAGCTTACGAGGGAAACGGAGGCGGAGTTAGTGGTGCGATCGGAGGCTGCTACTGCTGGAGATGATTCGGGAGAGCTCTGTGCCCCTTTACCGGTCAGAGCGCGCGCTAACACGGAATAAAGCCTTGTTTATACCCGACGCGTCCGCACGAGCGCGAAGGTGCGCGGGGCAAAAATTACGCATTCGGTGCGCAAGACCGTCAAGACCCCATTTCGCTTGCCTGTGTGCACAGGTTCTTTGTAACAGTGAGCGCAGCGCCGCATCCGAGGATGAACGACTTCAAGCCGAATCTGCCCGAGCCGTACGTTTCACAGCACCGGCACCCAGTTTGCGCGTCTAAATTGCAAAGTTCTTTTTTGTTAAGGTTTTGTTTACTGTGTGTGATTTATTTAATGGAAAGCACATTCACTTCTAGTTGTCTTGCTGTTAATTTTAAATAAACGTAGAGCAAGTAGCTAATCAGTGTCTGCAAGTTGTTCTATAACAGACGAACGTCGCTCTGCATACGTCATCTTCTTCATCGCTCTGATTGGTTTTAGGTCTATCCAATTACGCCCAGAGGCATTTGAGCTACGTCCGTTGGTGACGCCCCTTTGGAAATGATTTGTCTATGAAGCTTTGCCAGACCCTAACTCAGTTACAACTGAGAATGGTCTGGTTTTAACCAGGCTAGGAGGACCCCCAACATGGCAAATCTCGAAAGTCTTCTCTGTCTGACACACCCATTTCAGGTCTTGGAGTTTCTTCTAATGTGCTTATGAGTTGAATTAGGTGTGTTTGATTAGGGAAACACATACAATGTGCAGTGTTGGGGGTCCTCCAGGATCAGGGTTGAGAAAACCTGCCATAGAGTAATAATACCACCACTAGCTTCTGTTAAATCAGGGGAGTCCAATCTAGAGAGCCACCATCCTGTAGAGTTTAGCTTTAACCTGCTCCATCACACCATTCTGGAAAATGATTGGGCATATTTGTGTTTAATTGGGGTTGGATGCATGAAGATAGCTCTCCTGCAGGAGCAACTTCGGTCCTGGAGGGCCACTGCCCTGCTTTTAGCTGCATCCCTAATCAAACACACCTGAAAAATCTCACGCAAGTCTTCAGAATTGTTTGAAAAATTAAGCGTAGCGTCAGTTCTGGCAGGTCACGTTAGTCAAGCTCGCATCAGCTGACTCCTCACCTGATACACGTCTACCTAAAGGAATACGACACCTATCACTGTATACATATATAAGCTCCTTCAGTATTATCAGCAGCTATTGTGTTTCTCATGAGCTAATTACCCTCCTCCATCCCCAGCTCCGCCTCTCGTGCAGTCAGTATTTGGCATTCTGATTGAATCATGTTGTACATTAAAATCTTTATTAATTAATGATATCTGCAATACATTCATGTTGGTTCTGTTCTGTTTCCCCTAAGGGGGGTTATTGCTGCTCTCCCTGCTCTTATCCATGCTAGGCTGCATGGATGCACAGGGAGTTCTTGCCCAGAACAGAACTATACCGCCAATCCTAACTATATGCTAATTGTCGATCGTATTTGACGATAGTGGTCCTGACAGAATTACAGACAGGTAAGTTTGATTAGGGAAAGAGCTAAGCTTTGCAAGACAAAGTTGCCCATCGTTGGTTTAGACCCTTCAGTCTGTTAAAGCATTAACACCTTGTCTATTCATCCCTGCTCCTCAAGACCCACTGTCCAGTCAAACACACCTGAACAAGCTAACCAAAGTCTGTGGGATTTATTTGGGGTAAAATTAAAGCCAGTAGTGTTGGAGCAGGATTGAATCTAAAATCTGCAGTGAATCTCCAGTGTCAGGATTGAATACCCGTAATCTATGGCATCAAGCATGTTGCAAGTTCCATAAGATAGATATTTACATTGAGAATGACACTAAGAGGGGAATGGAGCTCCAAAGTCTTGGGGAGTGATTGAGGACAACTGTATGGATAAATATACGGAGGGAATCTCCACAACAACTTCTCTGGATTTGGATGGCTTTCAAAGTGCACAACAAATTTGTACTCAATACTTACTCCCAGAACTCAGTGACGGGAGAAGTGAAGTTAGTGGCATTCACAGCTCCCCAGAGTGTCTTGTTCTTGCGGAGAGTATCCTCAATGCAATTTTCTGTGTTCCATTTGTTGTTGCAGCTTGCCCAGGGGAGCTCTGGCTGAAAGCACTGGAACAGGTAGTATAAGCCCCAGGCCAGAATCACAATGTAGTAGATGTTCAGCAGAGAAACGATCACGATGGACGCGTAGCCGATACCTGTACATAGACAGAAATGGCAAAATTAAGCTGATGGCACACTGGACTGACTCAGCATGTGGTAGTTGTGCAAAATGTTTGCGATTTGTTATTATAACCTTAATGAAAGCAATGAAAGTAGTAGTGCTCCAATGGAGCGTGGGAATGGCTAAATAAGTGACAAACTTCTATGAGACCTTCTTGTATAAACATGGAATAATCTTGTCCAGAGTTGGAGGAAAGTGTTGTAAGGCATTGGTTCAGAGTCTGAACTGAGTAAATCAATGTTGGCCAGGTTGACTGGAAACCAAAACCGACCAAAGCGGTCACCTCCTTCACTGGCAGAGGGATGTGAGTAGTTCGGCAGTTTGCATGTAATGATTGCTCACTGGTAAACTCTGTTTAAATAAGTAATGAATCTATGGTCAGAAGGCATTTTTGTGATATTCAATATGCTCTTTGTATGCTCTCTTGAGATATTTTGGTGGAAAATGTAGCTGGACAGTTCCTCTGACTCTGTCTGGGTTTTGGTGCCTTTTTAAAGGTACTCTAGTGACTTGTTTGTGGGGCTCAAACCAGCAACCTTCTGATCGTTAGACTTCTGCTTTAGCCACTACACCACACAAGCTGAAGAGTTGTCCAATTATGCAAGCTACTGTTCATGAGCAGCTGGCCTTCTTAGCCAATAAATTAGTTGACAGCTGCTGATGTGTCTCTGCTACTAGCCAGGCTGAAAATGAAACTACTACTGGTCCCTAGAGTAGTAAGAAGACAGGCCGCAATTAATAGACAGCTGACATTAAAATACACCAACAGTGAGTGCTTTAAGACTATAAAATTTCAATGTGGCAATGACATGTTTATCAAGTGTAGACATAACTTTATTGGTCCATGTCAATGTTACAGCAAATATAGGTGTCAAATTTCATAGCATGGGTGTTCTCTCAGTTAACATGATCTGCTATTAGCTATGGAAAAAGTATGTGATATACCTGGATAATGAGCTTTAAGTCAAATGCTCAAATGAACATGATTGGTTATTGGTTACATTTAAATGTAAAAATGTTGAAAGATACATGCAGATACAATAATTGTGAAATTTTAGAAATAAATTATTTTAAAGAAATGATTCTTGTCAGTGGCTCTGAGAGGTGAGGAAGATAGGGTTAACCCTAACTGCTATTTTTGTAAACATATTCTTTTCTGCTCTGGCATTAGAGATATGTATTTCCTATCAGTCACCCCAGATACAGCTGGTGGTATCTGTAACGCACACCCCACTCTGTGTCCTTACCACGGGGTCAGGGTGGTTGGCATTGCCCCAATTGCCCCTTCTGGTAGATGCCATAACTTCACCATCTGGCAGCAAAAATGCATTGTTCTCCATTGAGAACCATTAAATATACTACTGAAAGATCTCTTTGATCCTTACCACAAATTATTATATTTTATGTTTCTGAAGTATTCATTGCTCACTTTTAGTAGAGACATAAACTTTTTTGGTGGAATTTTACTATTAGTTTTATTTATTCTCTGGTAAAGAAATCAAGAAGTTTCTTGATCAAGAAACTCACCTGTAAATATGGGGCAAAGTTTCTCCCAACAGGTGATTCCACCCTCAGAGGTGAACTGGCCGAGTGCCACCTCCAGGAAGAACACCGGCAGTCCTCCACCAAACAGGAAAATGAAGTATGGGATGAGAAAAGCACCTAAATGGAAGATTCACCAAGAGAAGATTCACTTAATTCAGTCAATTATTATATCCTATTAACACTAGTTTAGTGTTTAACTCTTATTCCTCATTGAGTTCAGCCTGTACAAGTCTAAGGACTCGTTCACACAAAATGTGTTTTTGCTTTGAAAAACAGTGGAATGGGGGAAAAACACAAGGTCTCAAGATGCATTTTTTTAAAAGTTGAACTAAAGCCCTATTCGCACGGGATAAGTATTACCTTGTGACCTCTAGTCATTTGTAATAATTCCGGATGTTGTCTGTGATCTTAATCCCGTGCGAATCGGCCATCGGCATCTCTATGATTTGGCGGGGTAGTTTATAATTTTTTCAAGGTTTTTGTTTCCTGTGCGCTTTTTTATCCATCTTTCGCAAAGAATGGAAGTGTTTTGATAGTATTTTGGGTGCTGGGTCATATCGCTATACACCATACAACTATACAATTTGCAGAAAGAGAAAGCTGAAAACCATCAGAATAGCAAAAACAAAAAGAATGATTAGATGGAGATGAATGACATGTATAGCAGCATGCGGTAAGGAACATTCTTCTGTTTATGATATATCATACAGCTAGACCTATTATAACGACAAGACATTTCCGAGCAATAGCCTATTGACATCATATCCGGGAGATAAGTCAGTAAATTCGAGTAAAATCACAGCATTCGCTTATCCCGTGCGAATGCACCACACGAAATTCAGATGTGGGTGGGTAATTTCAAATTCACACGAGGTCCCCATATAATACTAATCTCGTGCGAATAGGGTTTAAGCGTCGCGTTTTTAGAACGCAGTGTCATGTGCGAGACTGCAAAAAGACACAAGACATGAGCGCAATGGTTATACACGTCAGTCTAGCGCGTTTACAATGGACAATGGAAAAGTACCGCATTGGAATGGAAAAATGCATTCTGTGTGAAGAATGTCCAAATGTTTTACTTTATTCTGTAACAGAATATCATTTTCATAATATCTGATCTGCAAGTGGATAGTGATGTATACGGTCAAAGTAAAAACAAAATAACCACCATAAAACTAGTCCATATATGACTTTGAAAACAGACCAAAATTTAAGCTGTTATTCACTCTGAATTCTCATTTGCACATATACAGTGGGAAGAACAAGTATTTGATACACTGCCGATTTTGCAGGTTTTCCCACTTACAAAGCATGTAGAAGTCTGTAATTTTTATCATAGGTATTCTTCAACTGTGAGTGACGGAATCTAAAACAAAAATCCAGAAAAATCACATTGTATGATTTTTAAGTAATTCATTTGCATTTTATTGCATGACATAAGTATTTGATCACCTACCAACCAGTAAGAATTCCGGCTCTCACAGACCTGTTAGTTTCTCTTTAAGAAGCCCTCCTGTTTTCCACTCATTACCTGTATTAACTCCACAATGGCCAAGACCAGAGAGCTGTGTAAGGACATCAGGGATAAAATTGTAGACCTGCACAAGGCTGGGATGGGCTACAGGACAATAGGCAAGCAGCTTGGTGAGAAGGCAACAACAGTTGGCGCAATCATTAGAAAATGGAATAAGTTCAAGATGACGGTCAATCTCCCCCAGCCTGGGCCTCCATGCAAGATCTCACCTCGTGGGGCATCAATGATCATGAGGAAGGCGAGGAATCAGCCCAGAACTACACGGCAGGACCTGGTCAATGACCTGAAGAGAGCTGGGACCAAAGTCTCAAAGAAAACCATTAGTAACACACTACACCGTCATGGATTAAAATCCTGCAAGGTCTCCCTGCTCAAGCCAGCGCATGTCCAGGCCCGTCTGAAGTTTGCCAATGACCATCTGGATGATCCAGAGGAGGAATGGGAGAAGGTCATGTGGTCTGATGAGACAAAAATAGAGCTTTTTGGTCTAAACTCCACTCTCCGTGTTTGGAGGAAGAAGAAAGATGAGTACAACCCCAAGAACGCCATCCCAACCATGAAGCATGGAGGTGGAAACATCATTCTTTGGGGATGCTTTTCTGCAAAGGGGACAGGACGACTGCACCGTATTGAGGGGAGGATGGATGGGGCCATGTATCGCGAGATCTTGGCCAACAACCTCCTTCCCTCAGTAAGAGCATTGAAGATGGGTCGTGGCTGGGTCTTCCAGCATGACAAAGACCCGAAACACACAGCCAGGATAACCAAGGAGTGGCTCCGTAAGAAGCATCTCAAGGTCCTGGAGTGGCCTAGCCAGTCTCCAGACCTGAACTCAATAGAAAATCTTTGGAGGGAGCTGAAAGTCGTATTGCCCAGCGACAGCCCCGAAACCTGAAGGATCTGGAGAAGGTCTGTTTGACGGAGTGGGCCAAAATCCCTGCTGCAGTGTGTGCAAACCTGGTCAAGAACTACAGGAAACGTATGATCTCTGTAATTGCAAACAAAGGTTTCTGTACCAAATATTAAGGTCTGCTTTTCTGATGTATCAAATAGTTATGTCATGAAATAAAATGCTAATTAAGTACTTAAAAATCATACAATGTGATTTTCTGGATTTTTGTTTTAGATTCCGTCACTCACAGTTGAAGAGTACCTATGATAAAAATTACAGACTTCTACATGCTTTGTAAGCGGGAAAACCTGCAAAATCGGCAGTGTATCAAAATTGTTCTCCACACTGTATTTAACTGAAAATGCATTGTGATAGATCATGAGATCAATCACAATAAACCCAAGATGTACTGTATAACATGAGAGCTTGAGTTTCTGTATGGCTTCCAAGTTTTTCAAAGCAATAAAGAAGCCTACAGAAGAATCATTTGGGTTTGAAACGACATGATGGTGAGGAAGAAATTACGTTTTTATTACTGTCACATCAGTGTTCAAAGTCCAAAAGTATCAAAAAAATACACTCACCTCCGCCATTCTTGTAGCAGAGGTACGGGAACCGCCAAACGTTCCCTAAACCAACGAAGCCCCCGGCGACTGACAGAAGAAAGTCAAGCTTGCTAGCCCACTTTTCCCTTTGAGGGTGTTTTCCCTCGGCTTCGTCCTCCGGCCTTGTGCCCGGGCTCTTTCCTGGAGAGGGTTTCAGAATGTCTTTGTGGAAGTCCTTTAGACACTGGAGTTTCTCCTTCTGAGCCATGCTAACGGAGAAGAAAACAAAGGGTCAAAACTCTTGACCGAACCCCAAAGACCTTAGGTTCAGACCTAAAAAAGATAACGTCATATTTCAACTGTTCTAAAACATTTATAATTAGCGCAAACATAAATAGTTAGGCCTAATTTAAAACAGCAGCTATGGAAGATGTGAAAAATGTTCCCAGGAGAGGATAAGGTGATGGTTAAAGTGATTAAATTGATGGCTGTTTTGTGTGGTTTGAACACAGGAAATTTACAACAACTGCAAGCAACTTTTAAGATTGCATCATGATACCAGGCACAATAACCTAACTACGACCAATAGTACAATAAACCTACTTGTGAAACTGATAAGATTAGTTGATTTCTTTGTTGCTAGCGAAGTGTGTCTGTAGTCAACAAAAAATTATGCCAAGAGATAATCACATAGCTGACTAGTAGGAAAACACATCAGCACCTAACACCAACTAGTTTACAGTCAGCATGAAATCAAAATGGTCTTGTTTGGATTGATCGGTGCACTAAAAACCCATTTATACAATATATTCAGTCCTTTTGTCCAAGTAAAATCATCTTTTTTTATTTATAGGCCCTACTTGATATTACTTTAGAGAGCACTTTTTACAAGCCAATCTGATGGATAAAATACCAGTTTTACTCAAAATATGGCGTGCAAGGAAACCCACATGCAATTAGGGCCCTTACATAGTCAACGCATCGGTACGCATACGCGTGCGCAAGGCTACACATCGCTACGCTTCGGCCGCCATTATGCGTCGATGCGTAGCCAAATGTGTCATCCTAGTTTTTGATATGCGACGCACCAATGCACGCAATACTATGCGTTGTCGGTGGAGGCGACATTGCAAGTAATGTACATAAAAAGGTATATTATTATGTTTACAGAAGAAGAAGATTTTAATACAATGGCGGGCGAAGAGGAAAAGTTATGCGAGCTTGTTCGTATACATCCGCATATATTCGACAGTTCGTCACAATAACATTCCAATAAATTTGCTTTTGAAAATGCCTGGAAAGAGGTTGCGACCGCGATGGAAAAGACCGTGGAGAAGGTGAAAACGGACTGGAAAAGTGCCGTGATAAATTTACCAGGGTGCACAAAAAGTGGAAGGTGGCGTGCAGAAGTGGTGCGGGGCAGCTAAGTTTTGGCTACCCAAAAATATTGACTCAACTTAGCTGGTTGAGTGAATTCATAAAGCATAGGACTACAGAGTCAAATTTTTCGGTACGTAAACAACGTCGTGTGTGTCTAGAAGTCAATGATGCGTGCCCTTCTCCATTCAATTTGTACATTTATATTTGTTATGTTATAATATTTTATTATTTTGATGTCTTTATAGCTGTCATTAATGTAATTTACTGAGAATGGTAGGCTACTGATTTGGTCAGGACGTTTGATACAGGAGTAGGCCTACATTTTCTGATGTAAAATCAGCAATATGCACTCCTCTTCAGTTGCCATTTTGATCTGAATATCACGTGACCCGACTCTAGATTCTACTACCCCCTGTTGCGTGATCGGTGTATTGCATTTCACGCATCGCCCGTGACGCTTTGGTCTGCTTGCGTACTATGAAAAGGAGCGTGTAGCTCGCGTTGCTTGCTTGCGTTGACTATGTAACAGCCCTTAGGCACATCAATTAAAGCAGATTTAATAAAAAACGACTTACTTCATTCACCGCGGTTTTGCTGCAGAACTGGTATGTATTTATCCTGCCCTTATCCCTTTAACTAACACAGTGTTTACGCTGTCAAGATTCTATTCAAGGATGGAGTAATTATGTCAGGCTTGGCGTCTTCTGTTTCAAAGCATGCGCCAAACTTGCCATGGAGCCCCCAAGATGAATCCCAGAGAGTCAGATACCAAAGTCAGCTCCAACATCCCAAACTCCCTTAACAGCCTGGCAACGCTTGAACAAACTATAGCCCCACTGTGAGCCCGGTTCCTTCAACACAAACCTGCTTTTTTCCCTTCTCTCAAGGAGACAGAAGAAGAGGGGGAAGAATCCATGGTGTGTTTGACAATCAATAAATACAAGTACATTCTCCTTTCTGTTGCTTTACTAAACATACGACTGAATAAACATGCTAACTAGCCTGAAGTGTGGCGGCATGCCAGGACTAACAGTTCAATGACATTTTAATGCCGTTTGGAAATCTTAAGTTCATTTAAATTTATCTTCTGATGTTTGTTAAGGTCTAGCCTAATGCTTTAAAAGAATGTGGTTATTTTTTACAACACTAAACCATTGCCATTCAACTGATGCTTATCTGTTATTTTTCAATTGTAGCACACAATCATTCACTTGGCGACAAGACTATTACACAATTGTTGAAAGTGCCTAAAAAGGTCTAAAAAGCTCAAGAAATTACGATCATCCCCCTGAGATGGGTTAAATCTGTGTATTTCAAAGACTTAGGATCACGCTACAACCCAAACACATTCTGTTACATAACTAGAGTGAAATCCTCCAGACACTTTCCATTTCCATTCAAAACACTGTGGTGACCAAATTTACTGGCCGAGAGTCAAAGCAAGCAAACTACTGGGTTAAAAAACACAAATACAACCTTGTTCAACTGATTCAAATTGCTTTTTCCCGCTATTTTGCCCATGAGTGAACAGCAATAATTGAACACAAATTCAGTTGTAAAAACCTCTCTCGTCTAAAGTTTCTAATATTTGACATGACAAACACCAACAAAGTCACATCTTTACATTTATTCTACAAATTTGACCACTTTCTCATTATCCACAAACCCAAACATTCCCTCAATTCATGCACTGCCTTTTAACTTACATTTCCTTCATGGCTGAATCCAATTGGTCAATGTTGTTCTCTCAGCAGACACCATACCTCTGACCACACAGCCCAAATCTCTCCAGGGCTCAGTGTAAGCCGAGGTGACACCACGACCCGCCCACAGGCTAAGACAATTAAAAGCAATCAGCAGATTGGTCGCAGCTTCGGAGCAGCGGATAACCCGAGTGACAGCCAGCTCGATGGTAAATTTCCACTCCCCAGAAGCGTCAGAGTTCTACCTGAAACTATTTATCTTTGCATGTGCGGCGTCCACTTGTGGCAACCCGAGCCGCAGACGCGCCAAACAAGAGCATGTGGACGGCAATCCACACCTCTGTCGCGTTTCACTTGAACAGCTGATGGTTTCCCGGCTGTTGTCATGCCTCATGCCATTAATAGCTTTTCCTTTCGAGACAAGTGGCTTAGCTAAACATACTTTGACATGTAGTCAAAGGACTCAAAGTGTAATTATGGCCTTTTTGTAAACTGGTTTGAACACAGAGCCTGATTTCTGACTCACTGACAAATCAGACTCTGGTCAGTAGGAAGCAAACTCAAGGCCCAGTGCATTTGCATGGGGCTAAATGTGGTAAGTAACAAAAGGCTATTGTATGACTTGTTTCCCTCCGCCTTTGTCATTTGGCAGAGCAGCCCTGATAAAAGGGACAATGGCGATTTGTGCTCACAGGACCATTTAAATGAATTTTGGATCTGCCAATTTGTTCAAAAAAAAAAAAAACTGAACAAAGGATCAGCTGGCATTTATAGCCCTTTTAACACACAATGTTGGAATGCTGTGAAGATTGTGACACATGGCAGCCTTCTTTGGGACACCGACTGCTTGGTCGGTTTGATTCCCAAATAGAAACAATAGACTTGAATTGCACAGATCAGGTCGAGAATCCCAAGATTTCTTCAGAGGAAGAAGTAGTTGCTTCACTCCGAAATAAGCAATCAATCTATATAACCTCCAAGAAGCTCCAAATTGGAAGTGATTTGTTCTTCCGCATCTATAGGTCTTGTAGCCTGCGGCCATCAAGGATTTGTTGGGCCATCAAATTTATCATCCCAGCTGAGATGCAGGAACGGCAGGAGATCTCCATAGTCCCGACGATCGAGGGAGACTTCAGGTCTAGAGTCGGCACGAGGCACTTGGCTCATTACGTAACATCCCTATTATAGAACCATGTACATTTCCCTGAGTGCTCTCACATTAAATGCCTTCCTTTCCGCACTCGTTCTACCACATAAACTGAGTCCAGTGCATTAGAAGCACACTCTTAGACATTTATGTAAACCTCACAATGTAGCAATGATGCATGAAACTGAAGTCATGAACACTAAAGTCATTTGTTGACAGCCGAGTTTGAACCACTTGAACTTGTACATGATCTATGGCGTGATGCATTGCGCTCTCATGCACTGCCTTAGTACTGAATCATGTACATCACGCAGCAGGGCTTGACAATGTGGTCCCACTATGGTCCTGTAAAGCAGAAGTTTTTAATCTTGAAAGGAGCCTTCCTAAAATATAATGGCCGCAATATATTTTCATATATGAAGGTCAAATTTTACAGTGTGAGAAAGACAGTGAGATGAAGCCAAATTAAATATTTGGTTTTTATGGTCTCATGTAAAGCTCCAGTAAATTATTAAAATATTATTTGGATAATATTTACATCGTATTAGGATGACACTGTATTTATTTGTACCATTACTACCAATTAATAATACTGTAATATCAATGTTGTAAATATAATAAATGTGATTATTTCATTATTTCTGGCATCAAATTTATATCTTAGGCTCTAGGCTATATCTTAAGTTGACCAGATAACTTGACAGTCCTAAAAATATAATTTATTTATCTCTTTTTTTCATTCATTTTTATACTCCCTTGCTGTCCCATTGGACTAAAAATCAAGCCCAGTGGATTTAGGGTCATTATGTGGTTTATGATATATAAATGAGAGAAGATATAAGTAATGTTGTCAACTCTTGGAGATAATAATTCAGTTAAGCACTAGTATCAGGGAACAAGCTTGTTTAATAGTTAAAGGTTATCCACTGTTGGCTCTTTATTGTTATCACTCTCATGTCTAAGTATAGCCAAACTGGACCTTGGAGTAATGACATGTCAATACATTGTTACTATACAAAGAAGGACTTAAAGAATAATTTATTATCATAACTATTAACGGGCTCAGAATGACTTTTAATTTGTCCTGTATTCAAAACATCAAAACCATAATTTATCCGCAGGAGGTTTATGCCATAACTCAAGTCAATTGGTCAAACTTGTCAGTATACTGAAGCAAGACCAGATCAGATTCCTGTCATTCGTCTTCAGTTTCCACCAAGAACTTTTACCCCTGTGTATTTACAACTTGCTTGCTCAAGAGGAATATTTGTCGCCTGACCAAAACAACAAGTGGCAAGCCAAAGACACCAAAAAAATCCCAACAAATGCACAGAGAATGAAGCTGGAGTACATTATAAATGTGTAGGCTCTCTTCCACAATGCGGCACCGAGATGCACATTTATGAAGATGTATATTTATGAAGGGTACAGTGACTGTTGCATGTCAAAATAAAAAAGAAAGAGCTGAAATTGATGTTTTAACGGGTTAAACGGGGTCAATTAACTGTGCAGCATTCATAATCTGTGCTTTGGTGATGCTCTTGTGCATATTGTTGACATGTTTTTTTATGGGCGGTTGCATAGTTCAGTCTGCTCAATGTGAAATTTGCCTCAAAATCTACATTAAACAGAAACAACCAGATAAAAAAAAAAACATGCTGAAAGAGTTCAAAGTCTAAAGTGGTCGCCTAAATGGGCAGAGCCGTTCGCTGGCAGTTGTGAAACAGAGCTGCCTTTGTTAACACGTCTGACTTATTCTATTGACATCAATTAAAAAGTAGCCGATAGGCTCAAATTTGCGGTCCTCTTTTATGACACTCCAAGATACAGACAACACATTCAATAACTAAACTGTTCTCATCCTCGGTAAGAAAATGGCATCTGTCACTGAATGCAAACTGTCTGCTATACCCTTATCAGTGTGCTAGGTATGCAAGCTGGCATGTGCACGGAAACCTAAACTCTGTATCCTGTATTGTGTTTGTTTGAGCAGAGCTCTTGACTGCTAGTGAACTGCCTGACTTCCGCATAATCCTAAGTAGATAACTTCTAGATGAGGTGAACCTGTCTGCTAGAGTTCTCTACACTATTGCACTGCAAGTTCATCTCTGTTAGGATCATTTCATTTGACCATTGCTTAGCATTGAGTTTATAATACGGCGTGTGAAGTTAAAAGCAACCCTGTTCTATCAAGAGAAGCATTCACAGTGAACACAGGTGTCTCAAGACAGGTTTTTATAAGCTTAACTGGGAACAATTTTTTTTTTCAGAACAGCAGAACTTTTAGCAAGACGCTGACAACATTAGCGCGTGTTTACATGGAAAAAAAGAGGAACAAACATCATAAACAGACTCAAGAACGAGTTTTTTTTTTTATGTAAACACTTCCTTGGAAGGTTTTTAAAAGGATAGTTCACCCAATTTTTATTTTATTTTGTCATCAACCTCAAGTTGTTCCAAACATGTATGAGTTTCATTCTTCAGTTAAACTCAAAAGAAGATATTTTGAAGAATGTTGGTAACTAAACAGTTGATGGCACCCATTGACTTCCATAGTAGGAAAAAAAATACTATGAAAGTCAATGGGTGCCATCAAACGTCTGGTTACCAACATTCTTCAAAATATGTTATTTTGTGTTCAGCAGAAGAAAGAAACTCATACAGGTTTGGAACGACTTGAGGGAGAGTAAATGGATGACCGAATTTTCATTTTTGGGTGAACTGTCCCTTTAAATTCGCATTATTATACTTACAAGTTCCATTTCGTTTCGCTTTCGAGCGCGTCCTTGTGTGAACCGTCGCGTACGAGACCGGCGTGATAAAACCAACATCCTTAAACTGTGATGAGGCGCGTCCGTATAACAAACTTTTTAAAACGTTTTTCTTAAGATATAATCCAACAGGTTGTTGCAGCGAGCTCTTCAACGACGAGGCAGCATCTAGAATCACATCTTTGTGTGAGAAAAATGTTCATTTATAACGTAAAATAAGTTTGTACGCCGCTTGACGCTGTTGAGGTGAATATCTCAGGTAAACCCGTATTTTTAAAACCCCCAGGGAAACAGGGTTTCAACGAGAGACATTAAACTGTCTATTCTTAACTCTATGCAGTCAGCACTCAGTTATATTTGTCTGGAGTGGGAGTGAAAGAAACTCAATGACAGTGACAGCATCAACACAATTGATTCAGCAGTAGATCACATAAATGGCTTTTAAATCACCATAAATCATGAAAAAACGGAAGAATTATGTATTATTTTCTAAAGTATTTAAGTATAATAATATAAATTATATAAGTATAATAATACTGACTGTATTTTGTAAAAAAAAAAAAAAAAAAAAAACGTCCAAATGTGATCTTTAAAATTATAACACGAGACAGAATCTTCTGTTAAACTACTTCCTGGATCCCTTGTCAAACTCTTTCCATCATGTAGCCTATGACAACTAAAACAAGAGATTTAATTTTCAAGTAATGTTTGAAAAAAGATGAGCAAAATATCTAAATTAAGTAAAAATTAAAATAAAACCGCATGTGGTCTCGCATCACTGTACATTAGACTAACACAAACAGCAAACAGGAGGAAAATAGCCTTACCTTTATTGTTTATTTCCTTTAATTCCTTTGAAACGGTCTTGTCCCTTCTGTATTGTGCGGCGACTGGCTGCTGAATAACAGCGGCAGCGGTAAATTTAGTTTATGAGCTTTTTTTCCTGACCTTTGTCTCTCAACATGGGTGACCATTAGACATCAGTTGTGGAAAAACACCGGCCTGCCTCCCGTTCGCGGCAGCAGAGCGTCTTCTTAAAGCGCCCGCTTCCTGTGTTCACAAAACCGCGCGGCCAACCAACATCAGCGCCGCGGCTCCCCGCGCTCAACAGCGCCGCCGCTGGCCACCGTGCGCACTGACGCTACACTGCAGGCTGTGTGCATATCACGGATATACAGTACAGGTCAAAAGAAACATTGCTATTTTTAGTGTTTCTGAAAGAAATCTCTTATGCTCGTCGAGCCTGCATAATAAGGCAAAAAAAACAAAACAAAAAAAAACACCTTGAAATATTATTACCATTTTAATTAGCCTAATGGGTTTCTTTTTAAATAGCCTACACTTTAAAATATAATTTATGTATGTGGATTTTCAGCATCATTACTCCAGTTCAGTGTCACATGATCCTTCAGAAATCATTAAAATATGCTGATTTATTATCCATTTTGGAAACTTTTGTGCTGCGTACTATTTTTTTTATAACGTGATATTTTTAATCATGATTCTTTGATTAATTATGTTTTTTTTTTTTTTAAAGAACAGCATTTATTTAAAATGGAAATCTTTTATAACAATATACGCTATACCTTTCAGAAGTTTGGGGTTAGTGTTTTTGTTCCCTTTTTCTTAAAAAAAAAAAAAAAGAAAGTACTTTATTAAGCAAGGATGTGTTAAATTGATAAAAGGTGATAGTAAAGATGTATATTGTTAGAACAGATGTCCATTTTGGATAAATATCGTTCTTTTTTACTTTTTATTCATCAATGAATCCTGAAAAAAGTATCACCGCTTCCAAAAAAAATATTAAGCAGCACAGCTGTTTCCAACATTGATCATAAATCAGCATATTATTGATCTCTGAAGGATCACGTGACACTGAAGACTGGAGTACAGTGTAAAAACTGGTTCTTTTTTTTTCTTTTGTGAAATCTACTATTAATGTGGTTCAGATAACATCATATTTTGAGTTTTTGTTGATTAAACCAATCTCCTTCATTGTATAAACTCAAATTTTTAATTTCAATGAACTAAATTTTAAGGCAACCAGGTAACTTACTTTTTTAAGTTAAACCAACAATAGTGTAATGACTGATGAAAATTCAGCTTTGCATCGCATAAATACATTATATTTTAAAGTATATTCAAACAGAAATCCTTTATTTTAAATTGTAATACTATTTTACAATATTAGTGGGTTTTTTTTTTGTATTTTTGATCAAATAAATGCAGGCTCGACGGGCATAAGAGACTTCATTTAAAAACATTAAAAATAGTTATGCTTCCAAACGTTTCACGGGTATATTCTGTATATACTGTATATTGTTTTTTGGTTATGGTTGTGATTTATGCTTGCAGAGTGATTCCTGTAGCTCATCTGGTAGAGCACTTCAGCAGCAAAGTTGTGTATTAGCCGTGCGAGCTGCGTCTGCCAAATACACGAGTGATATCGATAGGTAAGGGGAACCATCACAGCACCTCGGGCATTTGGAGCCGGACAGCCTTCACCTGAACCTCACACAAGAACATCTTCTTAAAAAATATCAGCTGTCTGAATAAGTAGGCCATTGGTAACAGAAACCCTACAAAGAGTCTCATTAAAGCTGCAGTCAGATTCAGCCAGCTTATACATTTCAATATTTGATGTAAGGACTGTTACTTCTGTAAGCTAAACCATTCATTTCTAATTATCCGAGATGACTGGTAAATTGTGAACTATAAAACTAACATTTGACATGATAAATCACACAATTGAGCTAAAATGCACAGCTAGGCAAAGTGGTTTACATTTTGTTTGTGTACATCTGCTTTTTCAGGGGGAAAAAACACTAATACAACCCTAAATTGACTGTAAACAACTCAATGTCTGGCTTGGTGTCCCGTCAGCGCGTCCTGCTGCGGTGGTTGTGATTATGGCCCGTGTTTTGGCCCATGTTTACATCAGCTTGACTGAATTAAGATGCTACCCAGCCCGATATGCAGCATTTGCTTGCGTATCAAAACAGCTTCTGGCCTCTGACTAAAGTTTCTGTAATTTTCCACCACTCCTCGCTTGCGCTTCACTTCTCTCATTTGATCACAAGATCACTTTTTTCCCCTTTCGATTCAGTCTTGCGCAGCCCATGGCCTCAGGTGATCAGAATCATCTGTCAATCACCTCGAGTGCTTCTGCACCGGATGCAAACACGCCGTCGGGATGTTTTTGCATCATTTTTGTGCATTGCAGCAAAACACGTCAGTTTAAACCGGACAAAGAAAAATAATTACAGCTCGGCTATTTATTAATCTGCTGTATATTGGAGCTGTAATTTTAGTGTGCGGATTTATTGTTATCTTTTTGTCCTGCACGTGAGTCGAGTTTGGGTTTTGGATAAACCTTTTTTGGAATATTACCAAAATTGCCACAATATTCTATGCATTCATTAGGAATACAAATAAAATCTAAATCTCCAAAACGATTTACCAAACTTCAAATCAGCAAAATTCGAACAGCAGTTTGTATCATAAATGTAGTTTCTTTTCCTCAAATCTGGCTAAAACACTAATACAACCCTTTATTTATTTATTTACAACAAATTTATAAATTTAGAGAGTATATGGCATTTTGTGTATTATTAGCTTATTATTACATACAGCTCACAGTTTCATTATTTCATTACAAAATCGACTATTTGCTTTGTATAACTAAAAATTTACTAATAACCTCCATAATAACACAGATAGTAAAATATAAGGCCATATAATGACCTTGTACAGTATAATCCTGTACAGTTTTTGGCCATATATTCTAAAAACTTAATTTTAACAATAGTTTTCTGGAAATGCACATGCATTTTTATGTAAACTGCCAGTTAATGGGACAGTTTATGAATAGCATTACAGACAATTCAATGCAACAAGTTACCTATTTTATTTATTTATTTTTTTCAAATAATTCAATGTGTCAATTTAAATTAGATTGATTAATACAACTAATTAGATAAGTTACCTGGCCATGGTATGATTTATGTTAAGATTTAATGGGACAATACAAGTATTTTTTTTACTGTTTACTTGCATTTATTTTTGTAAAAGGTAAAAAAAAAAAAAAGTAAAAAAAAGAGAATAAATTACCAGGGTTAACATCTTTTACATTCAACAAGAAAACGTGTTTTTACAGTAAACTTTTTTTTTTTTTTTCGTAAATAGTTGCATGGAATTTTCCATGAAAGCAATCTTATTTAAATTGTTGTAGGTAGGAATGTTTTTTTTTTTTTTTTTTTTTTTTGACAAAATCTATAAAATCAACAACAATTTAAATAAGATTGCTTTTATGGAAAATTCCATGCAACTATTTAAAAAAAAAAGAAAAAAGTGTTTACTGTAAAAACGAGTAAAACCAGTAAAAATCAGCATGTTTTACTGTTTACTTGTTGAATATAAAATATGTTAACCCTGGTAATTTTTACCTTTTACAAAAAAAATGTAAGTAAACAGTAAAAAAAATACTTGTATTGTCCCATTAAATCTTACCATAAATCATACCATGGCCAGGTAACTTATCTAATTAGCATGTAGCATTTTTACATTCTCATTTACTGAACATTTTTACAGTGAAAATCATCAGAGTTCTTGTACAGCAAGACTAGTATTGTGTAGAAAGCGGATCCCCACAGAGCGCCAGTGTCTGAGACGTGTGAATGCTTGTCTGTTTGGCTTAACTGCTCAGTAGTTTTCCACTAGTCTACAAGGGAAGTTGAAAAGAGGAAGTCGAACGCTTTGTCATCAAACATGTTTACATGAAAGTCATTTAGCAGTTTCGCTAAACTTTACTGACGAGGGCTTTCACACGTTCACCCCACGAAGAATCTCACAATGTTTCGGCAGCTTTTCAAGAGAATTTTGCAACACAATTCCTCACGTTTGCAGCCAAAGAAAAGACAGGGAAAGAAAAACAATGACAACAAGAAAACATTTCCTATTCCAAAAAAATGTTCATTTCCTCTCCAGTTGCTTTGTAGAAAGATGAAAGTGTTATGTGATAGCAGCATGTGAAAAACAGTAACGCCCACTGCTTCCTTACACCAGTTGCTGCAACAGTAAAACCATCAGTGTTTTCAAGACTTGATAATCATCATGTTTTAGTGTAAGACTGGGAAGAGTGGCGAGATGTTCTTGTTGATGATCTTTCAAAAGTTAATTCTGGCTACTCAAGTTTAACCCATATTTAGAAACCTAAACATTAAAATATGGTCTTGTTAACAACCGTAACAAGTGAACTTTAACCACTAACTAGCAGCTGAACTGTCATTCGACACCATGCATGCGTCTCAAGTCGTATTTGTCCTTAAATGGTAACATCTAATTTGGCAATATTTGCAAAACTCCGCATAATTATTACATAAAACCATCCTTATGTAAACTTCCGCAAAGATGATGGATGATGTGATCAAATATGTTTTCACAGTGCGACACTTTACGCAAGAATGATTTGAAGAGCAATTCGTCTCTAAGATTGATCAAAACAATTTATGCAAGAATGTTTTTTTTAAAATAAAAAAATCTTGAAATCAATAACAATTTAAGTTTTGTTTTTACAAAAAAATTAAATGTGAATGTTTAGACAAAACTGGTTTCACGAACGATTTAATGCGATAATTTATGTCAGCATGATTTTTTACCAAAAAAAAAAGTAATGCATAATTTTAAGTTACTAATAATTCAGTGCAACAATTTATGAAAGAATGATTTTTCCAAAAAAAATAAAAAATCAATGCAGTCGAAGATGATTTTACGAGGGATTCAACGCAATTTACATCATGTTTTTTTTTTTACAAAAACGATTGCAACGATTTCTGCAAAAAAAATTATGCAAATGCATCATTGCCAAGGTTTTTATTAACAATTCAATGCAACGATTTATGCAAAATGGTTGTATGAAGGATTCAATGCCACAGTTTACCCAAGCATGATCTTTACCAAAAACTTAATGCATCATTTTACGTTACAATGTTTTTGCAAACGGTTCAATACAACAATTTACAT